GCGACCGACTGCGGAGATGCTGCTGGGCCACCCCTTCATCACCAAGGTGGTTCGGGAGGGGAGCGGGGGAAGGGGTGGGGAGGGGGGTGGGGAGGGAAGGAAGGGAAATTTCGGTGGAGTGGATGGATCATGTGGTCATTGGAGTTTCGAATCTGCTGGAAAGGGCTTTTGGGGGCAGCGTCCCCCAAAAAGGGGGAGGGGAAGGGGCGGGAAAAGGGAGAGGAAGAGAGGGCCAGGGTTAGTTCCGGGGTGCTTGTGGTGGTGGTGCGGTGAGGAGCACACGCTTCGAGAAGAGCGGCGTAGGGGGGGGGGAAGGCGCAACAGTCACACTCCACGGGGATGGGCCGGAGGGTGAAACACACACACCGACACGCACCGACACGCACCGACGCGCACACACGACGTAGGGTCCGCAAGCGCCTGTCATCATGACGGGCGAGTGAAACACACAACCCGACACGTGCGCTTCACAACCACCGCCACCACCACCACCACTAGCGCTGCCGCTGCCCCCATACCTCGCTCACCCCAACCCCTTCTCCCCTTCTTTCCCCCTCCTCCTCTTTCCCCCTCCCCCCTCTCCGTTCCTCCCTCGTCCGGGCTACAGACCTCCGCCTCCGACCCCTCCGTGAGCCTGAAGGACTTCATGCAGTGCGTCTTCAATCCGCACGACAAGCTGGACGAGATCGCCATCGTGTTCGCCCACAACTACTACGCGCTCCTGAACGCCGGGGTGGTTCGGCTGCGGGACCTGGCGCCGCTGTACTCCGCCGAGTCGGTGAGGGGGCAGTAGGGTGGGGGAACTGGTTTCGGAGGGAAGTGGTGGGGTAGTGGTGGTGGTGGTGGTGGCGGCCCCGTTTGGTCGCTAGGTAGATGTTGGTCCTAGCTGCGGGTCTGTGGTCTCATGTACATGTCTCTTGCTTGTGAGAGAAGGGGTTGGGGGGGTGAGGGGGTGGGGTGAGGTTGCAGGGTGAAGATATGCCCCCCTCCTGTCCCACACATCATCATACCGGTAGTACATACACCCCCCTAACACTGTGTACCCTGACATACATACATACATACATACATACATACATACATACATACATACATACATACATACATACATACATACATACATACATACATACATACATACATACATACATACATACATACATACATACATACACGCCCACCCGCTTCAGACGCTGCGCTACGACGGCGACTCTACGGTGGGTTGCGACGCCATTCTGGCCAAGCTGCAGTCGGTGGCGCACATGCACGCGGGCTGGAAGGTGACCCACGAGGTGGTCGACGTGCAGTGCCAGCCGCTCGGATTTGTAAGTGCTGATGCAGTGTAAGACATGCTGCTCGAATTCGTAGTAGTAGTACCGTAGCACCACCAAGTATCGTCCCTGTTCGTTGGTGAGGCAGCCCGTGTATGTATGTGTGAGAGGCGGTGGGGGGGCGGTAGTAGCTCTTTGGGTTTGTGCACATCCCCTCCCTCCCCTTCCCCCTGCTTCTCTTTCCTTGGCATCAGCTTCACTCGTTCGTGGTTCGTCTGTCCCCCTCCCTTCCCCCCCCTCGTCCCCGGCTCCTCCCTACCGCCCCACGTGGGCTAACCTGCCTCCCTCCCCCCCCTCGGGCTAACCGTCCTGTCCTGAACTGTCCTATCCTGACCACCCGCAGTACGGCAGCGCGTTGGTGAACGTGGCGGGGCGGTTAGAGTCCCCCGCCGCCGCCAACAAGCCGCAGCCCTTCACGGAGGTCTTCGTGCTGAGCCAGATGCAGGTGGGGCAGGAGGGGGAAAAGGGGGGGAGGGGCGGGAGGGGTCTGGGGGGGGCCTGGAACAGCCGGGTAAACCCCTGATGTGAGGTGTACGGGTAGGATGTGAGGTGTACGGCATTGTATAGTACAGAACGGAACCCCCCTGGTAAGGGTGGTACGAGTGACCTTGTCGTGGAGTGTCAGGCGGACGCATGTTCATGCGGTTTTCTATAAGCCGATGGGTGAGTGGTGGTGGGTGTGTTTTTCCCCCTTGTGTGATTGCTGTGTAAACCCCCCCCCCCACACACACACATCTTTACTTTCCCTACACCTTCACCCGCCCCCCACAACCTCCTCCCCACAAACACAACACAAACCCGTATCCCCGCGTGCGCACGCACGTATTTATGTGTGTATGTATGTGTATGTACG